CCTCACACCCCTCCCGACCTCCCCTCCACAAACCCCCTCCACCTCGCCCACGACCCCGCATCGCTGCCTGCCAGCTCGACCAGTCTCCCCTTATCGAACGGCAGCGAGGGGTCCTTCGCGAGCGCGCCGAGGATGTAGGAGCTAGGGTGGGTGTGTTAGTTGGGTGTTGATTGGATGGGTGGGTTAGTCGGGGATGGGTTAGTTGGGTGGAGGGGAGGTTAGGGAGAGTGGGAGGTGATGGACGAGGGAAGACGGGGAGGGGGAAGGGAGGAAGACGGGTAGGGGGAAGGGAGGGCAAAGGAGATGAGGGACGGAGGATTAGGGTCGGAAACGAAAGAGTACACTCAAAGCAAATACAACACTCAAAGAAGATAGAAACACGCAAATAAAGCACAACACTCACACCACCGTGCCCACCTTCAGCGGGTCGTCCCGCCCCCTCGTGCTCAGCGCGCGGCACATCTCGTCCATCGGCTTCCTCTCGACGTGCCAGAAGCGGTAGGCGCGCAGGTGTTGTTTGGGCATGCCGGAGGCAGCGTGGTGGGAGGTGTAGAGCATGCCGGGGAGGAGGGGGCCGGCGAAGGTGGTGGGTTTCGAATGCGAGGCAGAGGTGGTGGGTTTCGAATGCGAGGGGGGAGGAAGGGGGGACGTAGGCGCGGCGCCTAGTTCTGAGGAGGGTGACGCGGCGACCTCCTTTTTTTTTTTTTTTTTTTTTTTGGTATCCCGTTTATTGTCCTCTGAGGCCGAGCCTTATGGTAGACAGTGTACTACGGGATATTATCTAAGATTTGTCCGACTGTCTGTTCACTAACTATTCATCTGCGCAAATCGCGCCAGGCGCGTCTGAGCGTGGGTCACTGCTGGTTCTCCCTTCGTGTGGTGTGCCTGGTTGAAGCGGTACATCACTTGGTCAACTGTATGTGGGTGATGTGGTAAGGGGGGAATGACGTCGTCTGGGGCGATACTTGGAAGTACGGATATGTTGTCCACGGAAATATATACCGCCACGCAAGATGCGTTCAGCGCTCGTTGGGTCGACGAAGCTGAGGCGGATGGAGGTGTGTTCTGCTGATGCTATGTCTGCGCACATAACTGTGGCTCTGCGGAGGTGTGGGGCCTCGTCACCTAGGGCGATGGTCAACTCCTTGTTGAAGGCATCAGTGGTGACGCCTTGTGCGGGCATGCCGTTGAGAACGACATGCTCCCATCGTCCCTCGCTCTCCGTACACGTCAACTCCACTTTCTCGTGGCAATTGATCTTAACGATTGTCTGGATGGTTCTTCTAGCATGCTCGGTTCGAAGCAGTTGGGAGACAGTGTAGGGGGGACGGATGTATATGGCCAGGTGGCCTGCGGCGGTCCATTTGAGCCCACCGAAGCGTTTTTCGGTAGGACATCCCTCAGGGTACAACTTGTTGAGCAGGTTGATCAGCTCCGCCGGTGAGCAATTGAGGCCTGCAGGTCCTGGTCCCTTGCCGGGCCATAGGACCAGGAAGCGCTCCGGTGGAAGGGTGCGCGCTGCGGGGGTGATCGGTGGCGAAGGAGTTGTTGTGAGGTGAGGGGGCACGGGGGCGGTGTCGTGTATCATCGCGGGAGGCGGGCTGCCTCTTCGTGCGGCTGCGGCCATGGGTTGGTCCGACAGCGCTGATACCGGTGTTATGCGTTCGCCCTCGTAGTGCGATGGGATGGAAGCCGATGCGACACGTTCGCTAGTTGTCATGAGTGTCGTAGGGGATGAGTTGGTCTGCTGTGGAGTGTCCAGTTCATGTGTGGGGCCTGTCTGGTGGTTGGGGACTTTACGAAGTCCGGGGAGGATGCGACGCGCTAGCGACGATACGACAGTGATGACATGTTCGGGGTAGATGACGCTGTTTGGTGGGGACTGGTCCTGGATGGTAATCACAGTAGCGAGGACGCTCTCGAGCAGCCCTGCGACGCGGTCGAGTTTCGTGTCGAGTGTCGTTTTTCCGCTCTGCGGCTCGTCCACGAGAGATGGAGAGGCCGATCGCGAGGCTGGGTTGAGGTCGATCGGTGGGGTTTCCCGGGCCCTTTGCACTTCTGCGGCGGCGCTTCCGAAGCGTCGCTCGTGTCCTGTGTCCTCTAGGGAGTCTCGTGCTGGCCTTTGTGCGAGCGGCGCCGAGGCGCGCAGGTTTCGCGCGGTGGTCCGCTTGGACCGACCGCTTGGATCATGGTGGCTCGGGACAAGCATCTTCGGACCGGCGACCTCCTTCCCCTTCCCCTTTGACGGCGGTTTCACACTCGACGAAGTCGCGCTCGACGAAGAGGGCTTCGCGCTCGACGAGGCAGGTTTCGCGCTCGACGAAGGCGGCTTCGCCCCTCCCGCCTTCACCCCGCTCGCCTTCGCCCCTCCCGCCCCGCCCGCATATGACACCGACTGCTGCATTGTCCTCGAGCTCTTCACCAGCCCCTCCATCGCCCTCGAGCCGGTGCCCTGCATCGCCCTGCTGTTCCCCGCCCGCTCGGAGATAATCCTGATCGGCGGCTCGTATGGCGGTTCCTCGTCGTCGACCGCAGCGGGCTCAGCATCAACCGGCGCCGACGTAGAGGCCCCAGGCGCGCTCCCCAAGCCCGAGGGAGCCGTAGGCGCGCTCCGTGACTTCGCGATACTGCCCGGAGCGCGCGCACTCGCGCCGCCGTGGGCCGCGCTGTTGACCGGTGGTTCCGACAGCGCGCTGTTGACCGGCGTTCCGGACACCGTCGCACCCGATGGTTCCGACACGGCCCTCGCCATCGCACTTGGCGCCGCCCCGCCCGACATCGCACTCAACGCCGCCCCGTCGAGCCTTCCCACCCCGTCAAGCCTTCCACCCCCACCATCCGCCTCGTACACGAAGTCGGACACCGCGGGGTACAGCGAGGAACTCGAAGGCGTCTGCGGCGGCCACGTCGAAGGCGTCTCGGGAGGCCACGTCGAAGGCGTCTCGGGAGGCCAGGCCGCGCCGGCGAAGCTATCGCCTGTCGATGAGGACGCGTCCGACGAGAACGCTTCGCCCGATGAGGATGACGCGTCCGACGACGTGCGCGAGAGTGCGACCGACGACGTGCGCGAGAGCGCGACGGATGGTCCACCGCCCACCATTGAGCCAGCCACGCCCGCTGTCGGCCTGTTCACCCCCACCTCTCCTCCCCCCACTCCTCCCGCTCTCTCCACACCCACACTCCCCGTCCACCCCGCCTCCCTCCCCTCCAGCTCCACCCCGTTCTCCTTCGCAATCTGGAGCATCCGATTGTACGCAACTATCGCGCAGTGCGCGTCGTTCGCGGCGTCTGTGGGGGGGGGGGTTAGCAAACGTTTGGTGAGAGGGGGCGAGGGGGGTGGGAAGGGGTAAGGGAGGGAGGGGTAGGGAGGGGGAATATGGTGAAGGGAAGTGCCAGGAAGTAGTAAAGAACAACGAAGCAGCGAAGGGCAAACGCCCACTCAAGACGAGAAAGAAAGAACCGCCCACTCAAGACGAAAAAAAGCCGCCACTCAAAACGAAGAAAAACCGCCCACTCAAAACGAAAGAAGAAAACCGCCCACTCACACCCCACTTGCTCCCCACTCAGCGGCCTTTCCCAGTCGCTCGTGCGCACGGGGCCCTTCGAAAGCGTCTTCCCGTCGCAATAGCGGGCGACGATCTGGGTAGGGGGGGGGGGTTAGTTTTTTGTGTAGGAGGGGGGCTTGGTAGTGGGGGGCTTGGTAGTGGTGGGGGTGTGTGTGGGGGGGGGTGTTAGTCATAGTTTGGAGGAGGTTGATTGCGTGATAGGGGAAAGAAAATGTGGTGGGGGATAGGGTTAGTGTCGGGAGACGAAAGGTGGGG